CCTAACTTCAAACCCCAAGGTTTACTCTACTAAAGCTTCATATTCTCGGCTCTCTGGATCTAGAAGGGTCCAGATCTATAACACAAACTTGCAAAAGGGGTTTGAGGCATTCAAAACCCAAAGATGAAGTGATTCAAGCCCTAACTCTAAAATGGAATCTACACAATAAGGAAGGAAAGGGGTTCATTTTTGTACCTCGGAATGAAGCTCCTTGCTTGAATAACTCAGAACAATAACATTCCTTGGTCCCTCTTGCTGGAACTCTTCTCCTTTCTTGCAAAATCACACCAAAAAGCTCAAGATAGCCCTTCCTCTCGCTCTACACACTCAAGCTCGCTAGGGTTCTCACTTATGGGAAATGTAGTCGCAATTGAAGGCCATAAGTGCCTTTAAATATGGCTCGGGACCAAAGATTTAGGGTTTCTGCCAACAGCACGGACTCGTCGAGCCACCTCACCGACTCGTCGAGTCCATTTATTAATCCGAGTCATCAGTCGCGACCTTACTCGATGAGTTGAAGCGTCAACTCGTCGAGTCTCTCTTCTAAACTCAAAAGAAAAATACTTAAATTATGATACCTGAAAATCCGGATGTTACATTTTGTTTTTTTATTTCATAGATTTCTTCATCAACAAATGTTGCTACAATTAAACAAAAATAAATAATTTGCTAAAACATAATATAATAGGAAGTTTGTTCACATTTAGCCATTGAACTTTTTAGAGGGAAATGAACATTCGATTTTGTTCACATTTAGTAACTAAACTTTTTTTCATTATCTATTTGTCACTAAACTATTGAAACTGTTCACATTTTACCCTTATGACCGGTAACAGCCGGTCATAAGGGTAAAATGTGAAAAGTTTCAATAGTTCAATGACAAATAGATAACGATAAAAAGTTTAGTGACTAAATGTGAACAAAATCAAAAGTTGGTTACCCTTTCAAGTCATTATCCCTTTATTTTATTCTTGAGAATGTTGACAAAGGTGAAGTTTATGCCCTTCAATGTGTCATATTAATATCAAGTCACTTGTATTTTCACCAATCTCAATCTCAACATACGTCCTCCTCCAACCAAGATTGCATATGACTATTAGAATATTCTATTATCATTTAAAGTTAAATTAGATTAGATAGATATCCTTGTATGTATTTGTATTGATCTCTTCTTTCCTTGAAACGTCAGATCATGTGTATTTAAAGCCTTGCGGGAGATGAATGTAATCAAGCAATCATAGCATCTTTCAATGTTTTCATGATTAAGTATAAATTAAATAAATAATGATTAATTTATGTTATCTCTATCATGTTGATTGTTTTTTAATTGAGTCGTTTTCATGTTAGTTAAAAATAACAAGATACGGTTTTGTGTCGTATTGTTATATAAAAATTTTATGTCATTTCATGTGGGATAAAAATATGACACGACTCTATGATTTCACACATATAAGTAACATCATTTTTTCTGTTATAAAACCCATTCATGAGTTGCCTCATTTATAATGTCTTTACAAAGCTTGTTAAACTCCTTGGATGTATTCACGACAATCACTGTCGCTCCACTAGATTCCTACAAGTTCTTGAAAACCGATAATGCCTCGGATTTTTGTCTCACGAAATAAATTCAATACATCCCCAAATAAGCGTTAATGAAACTAATAAAGTGTCAATTCGATGGAGTTCATACATCGGTACAAACAAGCTCCCGCCTTTGCCCTCCATGTTTTCTCCTTTGGAAATGATTTCTAGTGTACTTTACTAAGACCACATGCTTCACATACTTCTCCTTATCTTCAATGTCCAACAAGCCCTAGCCCATAAACCATGTTCTCTTGGCTCAAAAGTCAAAAGTTTTTTATCTTTCAAAATTCACATGCCTAGAGTATTTTATGCATCAACCATAATAACTCTTCTAAGAGTTCAAAACTCCTTTACAGAAATGATTGAAGGTTAGTTTTGTTATAAGGGTAACGTCTTATCTAGTTACGTGTTGAAATAACTGCCAAGAATGAAACTCGCAATTACGTGTAGGTGACTAATGTCTATGATTTCAAATCGGGTTGAGAATTGCATTTATTAAGATTGCATATAGTGATTTAGACTAACTGAAAAGACTGATGATTGGGTCCAAAAATTGACTATACAAAGAAAAAGGACAATAGGATTCAAAGTAACGATTTTGACTACAAACTAATTAACATCTAATTGTTCATTATTCATTTAACATGTTACTATCAACGGCTTAAACAGAACTCTAATTCAAACATTCTAACTTAGTTATATAATTCTCAAACTAATAAGATGATTTAATTTAATTATGTCCATTTGGCCAAATTTACATGCCATCGCATCTAAAGACTAAAATCATCAACCTGGTCCCAAGGATCGGTGTCCACCCCACCAAGAAAATTGTCAATTCTAGAGTCTTCATGGTTGTGTAGAAAGTGAAATATTTATTTAAATAAAAACAATAGTTAAAACAAATAATGCATAATATTTAATTAGGTTTCTATGAGACAGACACCCTTTCAACTCTTCAAGTGTAGGGACCCGAATTTGAAAGCGGACAAGTGTCTCTTACCAAGAACGAAGTTAAAATCTTGGCAGTTGGCAAACAATTCTTATATTTTCATGAAATTAAATATATCTTGTCTATTTGAAATATAAGATTTTAATTTGGTAAAACTTAAAATATCGTAGGTCAACTTGCTTATTCTTGTGGACCATTTCTTTTTGGCATGACTAAACAACTAGGCTATGCCGACTTGGTCCTTCATTCACACACATACATACATATATATATATATATATATATATATATATATATATATATATATATATATATATATATATATATATATATATATATATACATATATATATATATATATATATATATATATGAGAGAGGGAGAGAGAGACAGCTAGGTTCAGGTATTTAAAGTAATTATTGTGTTATTATATGCATAAATGTGGGACAATCAAACCTTAAAATAAAAATAAATAATTAAATAAATAAATAAGGGTAAATAGGTAATTTGATAATTAGTTTCCACAAATAACATCCTATAATTATGGCAACCATTGATTTTAGCCACCTAGGTTTTCTCCATCCATCGTCTGCTTTTTAAAATCATCTCCAATGTAAATCGTAACCCTAATCAAACCATCTCCAGCCGTCGCCTCCATCCTTATGCCTCCTACCACCGGCTGCCACCCTACCCTCTTACTCTTCTGACCACCGTATCCACCGCCATGTCGAGGGTTGTTGTTGCTATCTTTCCGTGAAGGCTGAAGACAAAGACCGGCGAGGGGTTGCACCATTTCAGTCGTGTGTAAGGAGGAATGCACCACAGCCGCCTGTCGCTGCAGTTGCTGATGCTCGGAGACGCATCCATCGCCAGATGTCGCGACATTCTTGTCTGAGAAGGGAGCTGTAGAGGAGCCGCTGCCATTGGTCGAAGTCCGTTGCCATCATTCTTCTTATTCTCATCTTCCGCTAGTTGTCACTTATGTTAATGACCTTCTTCTTATATGTAAAGTACAAAGTGAAGGTAGTTTGTCACTATTTTCATATCAAATTTACTTCTTCTTATATGATAAAAAACAATTTGTTTCTATAGATGATTCAATTGATGATATTGGTGAGATTCCAATTTTATTGAAATGCAATCACGAATTCCAATTATGTTGGAATGGAATCACGAATTCCAATTTTGTTGGAATGGAATCACGAATTCCAATTTTGTTGGAATCACAGAAGTTGATGTTTGAAGAACGGACCACAAAATTGAAATTGATTCTAAGCAACATTATTCTTTTAGAATGTATTAGTTAGGGGTGAGCAAACCCGAACCAAGAAACCGAAAAACCGAAAAAAACCGACGAAACCGAAACCGAAAAAACCGAAACCGAAGCAAAACCGACGGTTAGGGTTTTAAATTTTAAAAAACCGACTTTTCGGGTTCGGTTTCGGTTTTTACCCAGAAACCGACCCAATAAACCCGATAAACCGACCCTCTTTAAAAACCGAGAAACCGACCCATAAACCCGCAAAACCGACGGTTTTTACTGCCCATTTAATATATATATATATATATATATATATATATATATATATATATATATATATATATATATATATATATATATATATTAAAAAAAATAAAGATGAATAAAAAAGCCCTTCGTCATTTCCGACTTTCCTCATTTTCATTTTGCCCTACCTCTCGCTACTCGGCACTCGCAAGTCGCAATCGGCAATCGCATCCCTTATCCCCCCAATCGCCATTCCCGCAAAGGCGCATCTCCGACTCCATTGAAGTGAAGAAGCTCGGCACTCCTCAGGCGAGACCTGTAACTCCTCTGGCGCACACAGACGAGACCTGTAACGGAGCCCTAAACCTCCGGCGCCATCAACGAGACCTGCAAGGCTGCAACTCCTCTATATCGTCAAATACGGTAAATGCTTTTTCTAAATTCATGTTCAATTGGTAATTGCTGCTAGTTGCTACCATCGGCAACAACCCAAACCCAAAAAAACCTTACGACCCAATTTTTCTGATTTTATATAGAATCTTCAATCTTGTGTTTATGTTGTGAATTTCAGAATTTCGCTTGTGTGTTGTTGTCCGGTTCATTTGATGCATTGTAATTGTATTATTATTATGTTTTCAGAATTTCAGAATCTTCAATCTGAAATTTCAGAATTTCAGAATCTTCGGTCTTGTATTACTATCTTCAATCTTGTGTTTAACTGTTTATGTTGTGTTATTATTATTATTATTATTATTATTATTATTATTATTATTATTATTATTATTATTATTATTCATTTTATTGCTGTGAAATGTTGATATCAAAATAATCAATTTGATTCATTGTATTCTGAAAGATATGAACCTTATTGTTTGCATATAGAGTGTTGAATTGAAGCTTTTTATTTCCTGAAATTTTTTGGTTTACATATGGATTGGTGATTGTTTTTTTCTATGTAGATGGAAAGCTCTCAACTAGATGCACAAACTGTTGATGTTGATGCTCCCCAAACCATTGATGTTGATCTTGATGTGGATGAAGGAGATGATGAAGTAGTTGCAGATAATAAGGGTGGTGGTCATAGAGTATCTTGGGTATGGCAACATTTTGATAGAGATGTCGTAAAGAAGGGTGCTAAGAAAGTGAAATGCCCATATTGTTCAACAATGATGTGTCCAAATTCAAAGAAAAACGGTACGAGTGCAATGGGAAATCATTTAAGACTCTATTGTCCAACATCTCCTGTTTATGACCCTAAAGGAAAAGTTGGTGATACGAAAAAACAATATGTGTTGAGTTTCAAAAAAGTAGGAGACTCGGGGGCTACTTCTTTGGAAGTTCATTCCTTCAGCCAAGAGAAATGTAGGAATTCCTTAGCCCGCATGTGTATCAAAGACAATCAACCTTTTAGCATAGTTGAAGATGAAGGATTTAGGGAATATTCACGGGATTTGCAACCTCTATTTAAATTGCCTTCAAGGTGGACTGTTGCAAGGGATTGTTTGCAGATATACAAAGAAGAAATGTATAAATTGAAGGATGTTTTAAAAAATCAAACGGTCTCCATTACAACTGATACTTGGACATCCATCCAGAACATTAACTATAGTTGTTTAACGGTACATTGGGTTGATGAGACGTGGGTTTTGAGAAAGAAAATTCTGAACTTTTGTCCCATTGCAAATCACAAAGGTGTAACCATAGGCAAACTCGTTTACAAATGCTTATAGAATTGGGGAATTGAGAAGGTGTTTACAGTGACTGTGGATAATGCTTCCTCAAATGATGGGGCAATTAGGTATCTAGCGACCATGCTTAGGGGACCCCATGCCTTTTTGGATTGCAAATATTTGCATTTGAGGTGTTGTGCTCATATCATAAATCTTGTGGTTAGGGACGGGTTAGAAGAACATTTTAGTTCCATCACAAAGATCCGAAATGCTGTGAAGTATGTGAGGTCATCGGGTGCTAGGTTTGCTACATTCCTAGAGTGTGTTGAGAAAGTGAAGATTAATTGTAGTAAGAAACCATCCCTTGATGTTGACATAAGATGGAATTCTACATTTTTGATGTTAGAGACGGCAGAAAAGTATGAGGCGGCGTTTGATAGGTATTTTACTATTTTATATACTATTAAGTAGGATATATATATATATATATATATATATATATATATATATATATATATATATATATATATATATATATATATATATATATATTATAATTTACATACTAATGTTTTTATTGAATTTTATTTTGTATTGTAGGCTTCTTGCGATTGATAGTGGTTTTAAAACTTTTTGTGGAAGTGAGGTTGATGATGGTGAAGTGACTACCAGAAAAAGAAGAAGAAATGAGAAAGTTGTGGGGACTCCCGATGCCGACGATTGGGAGGTTGCTAGGTATAATTGCTTTGTATATTACTTCAATTATAAAATTTGATATTGTTTAATTGCTTTGGTAGGTATTTTATCGACTATTTGAGGATCTTTTACAATGTCACAAAAAAGATATTCGGGTCCAAGTATGTGACAGCAAATATATTTTTTAAGGAACTTGTGACAATGCAAGCAAGCATAACTAGAATGTGTGCAAGCACAGACGAGAAAAAGAAAAAGATGGCAAAGTCGATGAAAGAAAAATACGACAAATATTGGGACAACATTGAGAACATGAACTTCATGCTTCACATTGCTGTCGTTTTAGATCCCCGCAACAAGATGTGTTATTTGGAGTATTGCTTGGAGTTGATTTATGGTAAGAATTCTACCAAAACAAAAACAATTTTGGAGCATGTCAACAAAACACTAGAGGACTTGTTTCAACACTTCAAGAACAAGACGGAGAGAGAAAGATGTGAAAAGACAAGGAGTGCATCGTCTTCTACACCTAGTTATTTTGATTTTGAGCATGGAGTTGATATGGAAGACGATTTTGAAAGGTTTATGGAACAACGTGGACATGGGGTTAATAAAACAGAGCTTGAGATTTATTTATCAGGTGGGATGGAAAAACGGGCGGAGGATTTCCAGATTTTGGGGTGGTGGAAATCTAATTCAACAAAGTTTCCTGTACTTTCTGAAGTGGCGAAACTTGTTTTAGGAATGCCAATCTCCACAGTTGCATCAGAGTCGGCATTCAGTACTGGCGGGAGGGTGATTGATGAAAGTAGAAGCTCCCTTACACATGTGACTGCCGAAGCTCTGATTTGTGCACAAGATTGGATACGGGACACCCCAATTGATATCCAGTTTAAAAATATGACGACTTTATATATGGAAGAGACGCGAGAGAAGTTGGTGCCAATAGAAACCGGTAAATATTTTACTATTTTTTACATAATTATAAGTTTGTAATTATATATGTTTATAATTAATTAATTACATACTATTGTTTTGTGTTTGTAGAGGAATTGGGGTGTGGTCAAGGGAGTTGCATGGATGAGGATTTTACTTGAATTTTAAAGGTTTATAAGTTAATTATTTTAATTTTATACTTTTACACAAGTTTATTGCTCAATAATCATTAATCAATGCTAATGTTTTTTGGTTTGTAGATGAATGGGGAAGTCGTGAAGAGATTTACATGGATATGGATTGAAGATTCGTGTTTGCGTGTTTTGAACTTTTGGTTGTAATCGACTATTTGACTATTTCGGACTTTGTGTTTTAGTGATTGTGTGTTAATGTGTTTGGTTGTAATAATTGACAATTTCGGACTTTTGTGCTTTAGTTTGATTGTATGTTTGGTTGTAATAATCGACTATTTAACTTCAATTAAGTGTTTTTTGAATTATTTAACTTATTGCTCCATTTCTGGAAAATGGGTTTAAACCCAAAACCCATGGGTTTAAACCCAGAAACCGTAAGTTTATGGGTTGAACCCAAGAAACCGCCCAAACCGATGACAGAACCCGAGAAACCGAACCGACCAGAAACCGATGCCATTGGGTTCTGAAAACCAGAAACCGATCATTTACGGGTTGGGTTGGGTTGGGGTCCAAAACCCACCCAAACCGACCCATGCACAGCCTTAGTATTAGTGTCCTTGATAGATTTTGATGTTTTCTTTCCCGTTTTGAAAGTTTTTTTCGTTTTACTTTTTAACAATAAATGTAATTCTTAACAATTGTTACCCGTATTCTATAAGAAATAATGTATTTTTTGTTTTTATTCTTCAATTAAGTGTTCAAGATTTTGTTATTCTACAAGAAATTTTTAAAGTTGTGAACAAGAAATAGGTTCAAGAATATTTTTATTATTTATCATTCAATAATATTTTTATTTTTGAATATAGTCATAAACATATTCTGTCAGAATGTTCGAATTAAAATAATTATAATTTGTAAAATCATATTTTTAAAATTAATAGAATCTATCATCCCTTAAAAAATACAATTTTCCTTTATTAAATCTATATTAATTGACTACATTACCCTTATAATTAATTAAGATGATATTTTTCAATTATTTTTAATTCAATAATATATATTAATCATTTTCTTAAAATAAGTAAATTTGATTGGCCCATATTTGTGTATATACAATAACACAATAATTACTTTGAATAGAATAACCTAAGCCTATATATATATATATATATATATATATATATATATATATATATATATATATATATATATATATAGGAATGAGTTCTATGGAAAACAAATAACTAGGGCCACATCTACCGGAACCAATAATCAAATGACACGTGTCCATTTCTTTCTTCACAACTAATGTATTGTGGAAGTTATTGTGGAGCTGATGTGTTGTCATGTTTTCATTGGTTCAAATATGTGTTGTCCTAATCATTCATTTTCCATATAACTCTTCCCTATATATATATATATATATATATATATATATATATATATATATATATATATATATATATATATATTCATCCATACGAATATAAATACATTCATCCAAACAAACATACATAAATACATACACATGCATACATACATACATATTGGTCTTCTATATTCCAAATTTAGTTAGATCTTTTATTTGGAATACTGATCAAAGGTGGACGACCTCTTTGGATGGTGAGTAGAAAAGCCAAAAAAGAGAGATTATGTAAACCACAAATGGAATTGCATGGACCCAAAACCTCGTGTTCCCATTCATCCGTGTGATGTGTCATCAACTCTTCAATTTATTGGGTATCACCATCGCCATCTTTTCTTTCCTATTTGACAGGCTAACTCTGGTTTAGTAGATCTCTGTCGGTTGCTTATTATAGTTTTATTCTTCTTCTTCTTCTTCTTTTTTTTATCAAAAGGACCAGTGCCTTTATATTATTGTAAGTTAATCGTTTCAAAATATAGTATAACCCTGAATATCATATTCAGGATCAGCCTAAAAACTCATTGAAATATAGAGGCCCAAAAAATAAGGCCTCTGGCTTTTAGCCTAAAAAGAGTTCAAAATGTGCTCATAAACAAAATCCATTGAAATCTAGAGAAACAAAAAATAGAATCCGAGTTTTAACGAAATTATAGTATTAATAGTTAATATATAAGATTATGTAATATATATAATATTAATCTCACTTGTAGTTCAGTTGGTCAATAACGTTGTGTTTTTTCTCTTATTGTGTAGTACACAATGGTTCGATTTTTGCTTACTCTATTTCTTCGTTATTTTATTAATAAGTTTTGCATTAGTATACAATGTTTAAGTAAAAATTTTCAAAATCTCTTTATAGTTGAGTTGGCTTTAGTCCCCACCTTTACTCTTCTAAATAACGTCAAAGGTTGTATCCTCACCTTTAACATGTTTTTCTCGTTAACTTTAATAATCAGTTTGTTAACAAACATTTTCAAGAACGACTTGTAGCCATAAGTAGACCTTTAATCTCTCCTTCTAAATGATCAACGTTTTAATTCCTTCTTTCCCCACTGTTTTTAGTATTTTATTTTTATTAATCAGTTTTTTGATTCGTCATTTTGTATGGTTGTTTTTTAAATTGGACATTTTTGTTTAAAATCATTCTCATCTAACTTAATTGAATGCTAGGTGCTACAACTCATGTAACCATTTAAAAGTATCGTTTTTTATTTTGATTATATGGCCCTTAAAATCAATGGTTCGGCCCTACATATTCATATATGAAATCTTAAAATTGATATGGGGACTATATAAGTTTTAAAATATATAAGTGTTATTCCATGATCTTTCAAGCGAAGAAGATTTCTATATCTAAATGGTGGAATATTTATCTTTCAAGCGAAGAAGATTTCTATATCTAAATGGTGGAATATTTTTTTTTTCTTATTGTTTATTAATTTATTTGGTCATTTCGTCTAATATTATTACAAGTGTGTGAATTGATGTTATTAATTATTTTAGAAGTTCAAGAAAAGGAACCGCAAATCCTCACTGATAAAACGTGGGAGGATGTCAGTTTGAGACCACACATCATGCAATAAATCGATCGAGGCCATCACAATCACTTCACATTACGAATTTCAATTTAGGAAATCTTAAAGTTTAATTTTGTTCAGTACATAAAAATTGTTTTTTTATCCAACGAAAACCTGCATATCATGATTTATTTTTGTTAAGTACATAAAAATTGTTTTTTTATCCAACGAAAACCTGCATATCATGAGTATTTTTTTTATCATGTATTTGAAATCTTTGACTTTTTAATTTTTAATTTAATATAATTAATCTATTAATTAATTTAAAATATGTTATTAAAAATAAAATATTATATTACTATTTATAAACTTTTAGAATGATTATTATTATACACTTATTTATTAATTTTAATATTATGTTAAAGACAAAATATAAAGTATATTTAAAAAATATATTCAAATACCATTTTTCAAAATAGTTAAAAAGGTTTTATTTCATAAATATAGAACCAACAAGTTAAATTAAATAAAAAATATCAAAAAAATATTTTTTAATATAATTCAATTTTTTTCGGATAAGTTGTTTTTAATCATATTGTAGAGACTTAGCAAATTCGTATGAAGGAATAATTCTAGTGTTTTTCTGTATTGATTTTGGAAACGAGTACATACATTTATATAGGTACTAACACAACTAACTCTTTATCTACAACCTATTAACAAGGAATACAACAACCGCTCCTATGCTTCAGCTCTCGCCAACACTCCCCCTCAAGGTGGAGAATGTATATCCTTCATTATCAACTTGTCAAGAGAGCTATGAAATACTCTCTCACACACTGCCTTCGTTAGCATATCTGCAAGTTGATCTTCAAAGATTACATGTGGAAGCTCCACAGTATTTCTTTCTAGGTGATCTTTAATAAAATGTCGGTCAATCTCCATGTGCTTTGTCCTGTCATGTTGTACAGGATTATTGGCAATCTTCACTGCTGATTCATTATCACAATATAGCTTCATGGGTGATCTTAAGGAGACCCCTAGATCTCTTAGAATTCGCTTTATCCATAACAGTTCACAAATGCCATGAACCATTCCTCAATACTCAGCTTCCACACTTGACCTTGAGACCACCTTTTGTTTTCTTGCTTCTCCATGTGACTAAGTTACCACCAAAAAAGGTGAAATAACCTGAAGTGGACTTCCTATCACTTCGATCTCCACCCCAATCCGCATCTGTAAAACCACTAACATGGTGGTCTTGATTTTTTCCAAAAAATATACCCTTTCCTGGAGATGATTTAAGATATCTCAAGATCCGGTATACTGTTTTCAGATGAGTTTCGCTTGGCACATGCATGAACCGGCTGACCACAGACACAACATAAGCTATGTCTGTTCTCGTGTGAGATAGGTAGATCAATTTTCCTACTAACTTCTGATACCGATCTTTATTTGCTGGAATTTGATTGGGAAGTATCTCCAAATGGTGATTTGCTTCGATAGGGGTATTTGGCGGTTTACAATTCAACATCCTAGTTTCTGCTAAGAGATCTAGCACATATTTCCTTTGATTCATTGATATTCCTACCTTTGATCTTGCCACCTTAATCCCTAAGAAGTATTTCAAGCTTCCTAGATCCTTTAACTCGAATTCAGTAGCCAATACTCTTTGGAGATTCTTCATTTCAACATTATCATTTCCTGTCACTACCATGTCATCAACATAAACAATTAGGGCAGTCACCTTCCCATTTTTCGCCTTCACAAACAAAGTGTGATCAACATCACTTTGCACACCTTCCCTTCACATTTAATTCCCGGTGGAGGATCCATATAGACCTCTTCTTCAAGATATTAGTTAAGGAACACATTCTTTACATCAAATTGCTTAAGGGGCCAGTCTTCATTTACAGCAATTGAAACAAGATTTTAATGGTATTAATTTTCGCCACCGGAGCAAATGTGTCACCATAATCTATTCCATACTTTTGTGTATACCCCTTTGCTACTAATCGGGCCTTATATCTATCAATGTTCCCGTTTGAGTCCATTTTGATAGTGTAAATCCACCTACACCCCAC